GGAGAGGAAACGGACGGCGGCCTTTGTGCAACGAGAATCAGGCGACGAGATCGATATATAGTCATCGGGGTTGTCGACAGTTGACGGGGCTCTAAACGGGGCGTGCATACGACGCTTTTTTTTCGCGGAAAGCGCTAATAAAATAATATCGACCGTCGACCGCGCCGGAACGAGACCTTCCCCGACACCGTAAATCATCCGTCGCCAAACGGGAAATTAATGCTGAACGCTATATAGCGAACGACGTGTGTCGTCTTGACGAGCTTTCGGCCGACCCGCGAATCAATCGCTCGATGGGTTATTCAATCGTGAAGACGCGTATCCCTAGCGTCCGCAAATCTTAATATATTCGTCGATAAAATTGTGACACATTAAATTTAAAGTACCGCGTGATGCGGATGTTAATGCGCCACTCGACAGCTTTTTAGTAGGATTACTTTTTTTATTACGCGTCCTCGAGTGATTATGCAACTTTTAAACGTCAGATTATCACTCGAGCATTGTTCGATCAATATCGTTTGTAACAAATCTTATATCCTGCTACTATCTTCGCATTCGTGCATGCGATAAATCATCGCTGAAAATATCGATTTCAATTTCATTCCAATCTAGTAATGAAGTATCGTAGTATCGTATACGTCCGATTAAACTGCTAACGCAACAAAAGATCATCGATCGCCGCTACGTCAACAAGTCTGTTACATGCAATCGGAGGCTAATAATAAAGAGAGACAGGCATCCTATTTCGAGGCTGCGAAACTACGCGGAGGAGTATTCATTGAATACGTCTGTGTAACAGACGCTAGGGCATCGTGACATTAGAATGACGCACGGCCGATAATTAAAAATTCTATAAAATTCAGATGATATCTTCTCCTCTCGAAATGCTGAGATGTTAACGCACGATATTAAACGATACGATATTTAATAAATATTAATGACAATTACGTGTTGCGATAATACGGAATGGCAAATAACAAAAAATTGCAGCCGAGATTAAACGTTAAACGCGACGTCGAATCGCCAGATCGTATATATGCAACCCTTGACTCGATAATATCGTCAGTTCCGCTTCTCGTCGATCGTCGAGCGCTTAATGAAGCGATAAAAGAAGCGTCAGCTGGGCGTTCGGAATAATCCGTACTGTTAAAGGTGCCGTTACTCGACTCGCGCGGACTCGGCGCACGAGCTTCAAAAAGGGGCAACGTCATCGCCGAGGAAAACGGCCGTCACAGACCACCGAACGACATGCGGACATAGGAGCGCGCGCGCGCGTTTCGCAGCTATCGAAATCCAATTCCGCCGTCGCGTAATTTTCGCACCCGCGGACGACGACGCCGCGTACACGCGGTGGCGGTGTCGTGTTTCAGAGTTTATAATTCGGAATCACCTGAGCCCCCCTCCCCCCACCCCCGCGCGTTCCCGGTGCACAATATACGGACCCGAGCTGGTTACACGAGCGCGTCTCCAGTTTCGACCGCATCCGGTGCCATTAAATCCGCCGCGCGAATTCGGACGAAATTAGATTGTCGCGGAGCGCTGATCATATTGTGGCGGGTCCAAACTTTGCTCCATTGTTACCCGGTTCACTCTCGACGCGCGGTTGCGCGAGATCGAAGCGCGAGCGACGCGAACTCCGGAGCTAGACGCGTTTAACGCAGCATCTGCACATAATCGGGATTTACAGTTCGAAAAATACCGTTTTATCCTACGTTATATACATATATATATATATATATGTACTTAAATATAAATCGGAGCTGAAACGATCAACAAGAAGTTTGAATTCGAAACATCAGAGCTTCCGAGATCTTATCTAAACCATTAGAAAGAACACAGAAGCGTAAACATAGCGAGACTCGGCACGAAGAGGTCCGGTCAACAGACTTCCGAGTGTTTCGCAGTCCTGAAAATAAATCGGAGACTACATAGGCGTCGCGAGAGGACAAAATTCATTTAAACGGCGCTAATTCTCGAGTGAATACCGACCGACAAATTCTCTCTAAATTCCGATAATAATATATGAATATTGCGTGAACGTCAAAATGCTTCTCTCTCAGCAAACATTTCTTATTATTAATTATTTCTAAAATCGAATGTTTAACGTTTCTAAGAACAACCAACGTTCGCGTATCGTCATGCACAATGAAAGTCCTGTCGCACGAATGGCACGAGTGCGATCATCGGAGTTCCCGCTTCTGGACGGACGATGACGTGCTCTCTCGCGCTATCAACTTCCTGCTAGACGCGATACACGCGCTCCTACGTTATTGTGCCTGGGGGGGTCAATGATCCGCGTAGTTCACGGAGTTATCGGGGTTTTTGCCTGCGCGTGGAAAGCGTTTGCGTATCGCTAAATATTACGAGGTCACTTTTGCTCGTTTCTTTGAGCGGAAGCCGCGGAAGCAGATCGGTAATTTCATCTTCGGGCGATATTATTAACGAGCGAAAACGGGATCTCGCCGACGTCGAAAATACATATTTTTCCTGAATTTTTCGCAATAATAATAATTATTTTCCGCGTAATTAACAAAGCGAGAAACAACGGAAGTATTTGTAACTTTGAAATTGATACGTATAACGTAAAAGCTATTATATTCACGCGTGTTTTTAATGACAAAATGCAGTGAAATTAAATATCCAAGCGTATGTGTGCGCATGTAAAAATTTTACTTTATTTAAAAAATCTGAATACCAAAGTAAATTCTGGCCGAGCAAATCGCGCGCGGAAGGCTCGTGCCGACCTTTGTGCATCAATTTGAATGTAAAAAAAAAGTCACAAATACTTCATTCATAATCATTGTGAATCGCATTTCGAGGTTCAGAAGGACAGACAATTCGCGTAAATTCAATCGGAGTGAAAAAGCGGCGCGCATGAACGGGCGCGTATCAAATCTTCTAAATTGATATCGATTTTCTTCGGATGCATAATCTCGTTGCCGGACCTAAATCCGATTTATAAGGAATATTTCATTGGGAAGAGACGAGCGTGGGAACGTCGCATAAATTTACGCGAGAGTCGGAAAGACCAGATTCGCGGATAAAAGCGTCCGTTCGCGGAAATAAATTCGTAATAGAAATACTGAAAAACTTACGTAAACGAATGAACAATGAGTTTTGTCTGTTAATTGAATATACAGCGCGGTCGATATTTTTCCTCCAGCGGCGTTAATATACGCGGCGATTGTAAGTAATTGAATGTAGCCAACTTCTGCAGATATAACTTCTTTTTCCTCTAACATTGCCCACGCGCGAGGACCGCAACGTTAAACGCAATATAAAGCGCTGTAAAAAATAATTCTGTAAATGCGCGAACGTAAACTCTCGCTGCGGAACACGATGCCATTATCTCCCGCATATAACGTCGCATTCGCGACCAGATCGTAACTCGCGATCCCTCCGTTCTATCATTTAAGGCTCCTACCATTTTCCTCACATTAAATTATGACGTCAGAGACGAGAAGTCATGCAAACTTGATTTTTTTTTCTAACGCCGTACGTTAAAATAGATACATTTTTATCACAGACCGAGAGATTGGTAAAATATCGAAGATTCTTTTTTCGATTCGCGGATTAATGAATTTTGCTTAATAAAGTCATGAAGTCCATATATCTCGCTGGAAATGTTGAACATACGCACGCTGCAAAAAAGGTACGTAAAAATTACACGCGAATCACAAATGTAAAAAGCCATATACGAATGTATACACCCTCGTTGTAAATTTTCATTATTGTGATTTTTTTCACTTATTATTCATACAATTTTACGTACTTTTTTACGCTGCGGGTGAATTATTGTGATGCACTTAATAAGCGCAGAATAATGAAACAAAGGGTTGCAGGTGTGTTTATTATACCGTCAACAGGAGCAGCGGCATGAAAATATTACCTTATTTCGGGAGGAAGGGAAAATGATTTTTCGCTTCGTAATTCAATTTGCCAATCAGATGTAGCTGTAATGAGGAAACAGGAATCTTATTGTCAGATTACGACACTGATTAGCGCTAATTCTGATTGACTGAATTTCTGTGTTTTCAGTCTATACCATAAGATTATAAGAAGGAATACAAAATCACCAAGAAAATAGTCAGCTCAGACTCTTTCTTTCTTTCTCTCTCCCTATCGTCTCCATTTTTAAATTAAATTACTCCAATATTGCAATCTAAAAATTTCAATTAATTAATTTCTTTCTCTCTTCCCGTCGTCGCGATTCCGTTTCTTCGTACAGCATCTCAAAGACAATCGTAATTTAGATGCGAGCTACAAATCGCTCGATTCGAATCGCGTGTCGCTTCGATTTGGCGACCTTCGCGCGTAATTTCGTCGACCTCGCACGCACGACGGACGCGGTCGCTTCTGAAGGTGGGTTCGCGTTGGAGCTCATTAGCGAAGTGCGGTCTCTTGCAATTCGTTGATGGCCTCTCAGGGCCGGGCAATCACGAGAAATTAAGTATACCGCTCCGATATAAAAAAAACTCTCTCGTCAACTCCGTTCGCAACGCCAACGAGCGGGTATATACTTATTCGGCATTCCTTTCCAAACACGCGCGGCGCGTTTCCGTCTCGCTAGCGAAAATACCAATATCGACGCGTACAGTCCGCTGGGTCGCTTTCGCTCCAAGCCTTTTGCTCCCGCGGCGCGGCGAGACGAAATCCATCGCGATAATTGAAAACGCGCCGAGCGAGGCGGCGAAACGTTCGTCGTCAACCCCCCGTGACGATCCGCGGGCGCCTTGACAGCCGTCTTGTTTACCAACAAGCGACCGGCCATTTTTCGGCGGTGCGGCGCACGGCGCGTTATCGGCGTTACAGGGCGTAACCGTCCCTCGGCCCAGCAGGGCGAAAATGCGCGACGCGCCGTGTTGTACGTGTACGTCGTGTCCTAACCCCCAAAACCTCCCCTCCCCCCCTCCCCCGCGCCATCGACGTCTCGCCGCGTCTCCCGGGGAGGAATCTCGCGGAGCTCGGTAACCCAAACAAAAAAAGAGAGAGTCACTCACCCTCCGGATACGCCTGTTTGCTCTGCACCAGGTCGATGAACATGTTCGTCACGTTGTACAGCTGGCCCATGCCCTTCGGGTTGAACTTGGTGGTGGCGTTGTAGGGCAGCCCGACGGTGTTGACCGTCGTGTAGGTGAGCGCCTGCGAGGCCATTATCTCGTTGAGCTGCCGGTCCAGGTCCTCGCTGATCGCCCGCATACGGCCGGTCAGGCTGGTCTCCTCGCTCAACGCCGGCCACAGGAACGCGAGGGACACCGCGAGCACGCGTACGAGATACACCGGGATCGCCGACGACGCGGCCTCCATCGCCACGGGTACGCGCTTGTGCCGACTCATCGCAGCGACTCGCGCCTGGGAGACGCGCCGCTACCGACTGGCTCGTCTCCGTCGCCTCTCGTCCTCGTCACTCTCCGGTCCCTCGCCGCCGCGGCGAGCGGAACGCCGGAATCGGACCGTCGGCCTCCCCTCCACTCCGGCGCGTTCCTGCGTTCCTTCTCGCGCGCCTTCCCTCTCCTACCTTCTCACTCCCTCACTCCCTTTTTCTTTCTTTCCCTTTCTTTTACATATATATACTCTTGCTCTTTTCTCCTTTTCTGTATTATTATTCTCGAATTTTACTACTCTTATTAGGCTAATATTTCATTTATCGTACGTCAAGCTTTGTCGGGCGTACACTATTGGCTAAAAGATAGAGGGTTTCTAGAAACTCGAGAACT